TGCGCATATATACATATTTATTTACCCAACTGTCACTGCAACACCACGCCCACCTCCCACCGCCCCCTTGAGCAGCACCTGCTCCTTGCGTATATTTCAATTTGTCTGCAGCTCGAAATTGCTTTTTTGTGCATTTTGTCAAATGAATTTTCCACGTCGCTCACAGGAATTATATGGAATTTGTTTGCAGCTGCTTCCCCTATTTCGTTGATTTATACGCATTACTCCCTATATCACTCCCCATATCACTCCCCTCATATATATATATATATGATATTTTTTTGTCACAGAGCACTAAAATTCTTATCTCGTCGCCAACTAATTTTGTGATTGCATGCTGCGTCTGCCGAGAAGAGAGAAAATGCTCTGAATTTAAATTGGATTTTTGCGCACATTAAAATGCATTTTCCATCGGGTTAGTTATGAATGCATATGAGGTGACTTGCCCAGCTCGGTGGGGGGGGGTGGTGTGGGAAAACTTCACAATGGGGGGGTTGAGATATGGGGACTTTGCTTATAGAGTGGGCGAACCTACACCGACTACACTAAATGTTTACGTTTCCTGAGCGTCAGGCAAACATGGCAAACATTTAGCAATGTTTTTCCAGCATTTCGGAAATAATTGCTGACATTCCGGGCCGAATGGAGCCATAAAAAGCCAGCCTGCTTGACGTGACGGTTAGCCACAAAACCAGCGAAAACCAAAAAAAAAAATATAGCAGGGGGAGAAACGGGTTAAAAACAAATATAAAATGTAACGAAATACTCGCGACGTGGCCAGAACATAGAACATGGCTAATTCTTGCATGACAATTTCACATTCATAACCCTTTTTGTCCGCGCTGTCCGTTGGTCGGCACGGTTTGCAGTCTTCCGTCTCATAATTATGCTCTTTATAAAGAGTGAGCTTGATAAGGGGTATACGAACTTTCCAAAGTTTTGGATTAGGGAATTATATATATCTATTTTATAATGCATTTAAAATACCAAATTAACTGTTCAGGAATAACATTAGGAATATTCATTTCTTTAGGATCCTAACTCAAAAAGATTGATTGAAATTTCATTTTAATTCCATTCTTAAGCTCCAGATTGTTAAAAATATATTATTCTAACGTTATAACCTTAAATATGATAGAAAAAGATATTTTTAAATTTTTTCAATTGTTAGAACTGTATGATTTCTTAATTTTAAAGAGTATTTAAAAATGTACAACCTCTCCATAAGTTCCTCTCCCCTATTTTCCCCCGCTGCGACACGCCATTTTTTCAATTTTATATCATGGCATTTCCACGGCTATTTTGTAAGCCGCGATTTGCGATTGTTCATTTCGAGCGCTCTGTTAATTGTTAATTTTTATGGTCTGGCAATTGCGGCAACAAAAAGAACAGCAAGATACCAACCCACAGAACGGAAAAAACCAGGAAAAAATACAGTGGAAATAAAGAAATTAAAGTGGCCCGGAAGAAGAGCTTCTGACTGGTTGCAAAAGGCCTATAAAAACAATTTAGCAAGCAATAAAAATGCCGATGATAGCATAAAATTGAATTTTACCAAGGCACACAACGTTTCTTATTGATGGTTAAAGAAAAAAGGCTCAAATCTATTGATGTGTGGACTTGGGGGAGTTGGCCAATTGCCTGCCAACACCCACGGCTCAGGAAACATCAAAAAGCGAGGCCATTAAAGGATTCTTTTCCCACATTTATTTTTTTTAAGCCCGCCAACCCTTTCACGCACTTACGCAGCTCGAACAAACAGGGAAAACTGAGAGTGGGGTTTCAATTTTAAAGTAAATATTTGCCTCCAGGGTGCTTTTGATATTTATTACCTTTCCAAAGGGAAGATCTCTGGTCAGTAAATAGTGAGGACATTAGCCTCGAGTGCTGACCAGCCGAAAGAAATTTGCTACTTTTGCTAATGGTCCAGGGGACTGGCAATAAATTTGGGTATTGCCAAGTGGCGAGGTCCGCCTGTCAATGAATAGATCTTTCCCCATTGGTTAATTCAAACAAATTACAATTATTACCACCCAACGAAAGGGAAAATGCCTCAGCCTCCAGAAACCTCCAGAAAAGGCACAACAGACAGCTGACAAATGACTCAAAAGGCCGAGAAGGAGCGACATTAAGCGATTAACTCGTTGGGGCCGAGGTTGGAAATGTATCTGCAGTTTCCGAGGCTGTCTTAGGCCAACTTAACATATTGTTAACGTGGGCAAACGAATGTCTTGGGGGGATTTCAGTGTCCTTGCCCGATGATGCGATCCACCAGTGTCCAATGACATGCAAATGTATGCAGATCTGCGCCTTTTGTCATGTCAACGCAGGCAAATCGACAAGCGAACCGAAAAATGTGTCTAACCAACTCTACTCCACTCTCAACTCGTTGCCCTTTGCTTTTCAGCCTGCGATTTTTGCTTAAATCTGCGCGCATGTTTGGTGCGGTAAATAAAAAATGCAAAATAAATGCGTAAATCTCTAACGGACAGGGGGTATGGGATTCGGATTGGGGGCCTCTGAATGGGGCAAACGGCAAAGGGTCCAAATGTGTCTGCAAAGTTTTTTGCAGGTGCCATGTCTTTTGTGTGTGCGTCTGCCCGATTTTCAACCGAGGACAGCTCCGCAGCGACAGTTCATCAACTTGACTTGTGATTTCCGGTTTGCGTTTTATTTTCTCTACTTTGTTACTTACTTTAAAAGCGGATTAGGCGGAGACAAACGCCCACGGTGGCATCAGCATATCCACATCCAGATTCACAGCCACATCCATAGCCGCAGAAACATCCACATCGAGGTGAAGGGCTTAGTTAGCATGTCTGAGATCGCTGATGTGGGTTCTCAGCTACAAGTCGAAAGAATGTCAAGGTGGAATTAAGTCAATGATGTGAGCAGGAAGGAGATGGGGTGCGTGGTGCCCATGATAAATGGTATCTGGCCTATTCAAAAACTGTCCAAAGGGTTGAATTTTTATAAAAATGATAAAGTTCTTCCTTTGGGTATACATCTTAAAAATGTAATAAATTAAAGACTGTATAAAACAGCGATGTTTTTACGTTCTAGAATGATGTCTAACGCTATAATTTCTATATATAAGCAATAATCACAAAATAAAATGTTCACCACCTAAACTTTTTGAGAAGCGCAGAGAAGGGCTCTAAAAAACGCCTTTCTCTGCACTTCTCAATACGTATTAAAGTCCATAGCCATGTTCTTTCTGCCCTAAAAAAGCTGTAGAAAAATTCTAACAATATTTTTTTATTTCTCCATCTCTGCCTTGATGTTCAACAGCTGCCGCCGCTTGTTTGGAATTCACACATCGACAACGGCGCTTAGAATTCGCTCCAACCACTTACCGCTTAACCCCCATCCAAACCAAGCACAACCACCTGAGCCACCAACGATGTGCCAAAAAATCCCAACCACTTCAACCCGAGGCTATTGCTTCCATATTCTACTTTTCCACAGTTCTACCTTTCCATCGTCACACACCCACTCCCAATTTTCTCGCTTTGCGGCAGTGCAAAAACAATTTTTCGAGAGTAGAAAAAATAAAGCGAAAATGTTTTAACGCTTCGACGCATAATGACAACAAACAAATCGCTTCATTTAACAATAAATAGCTGCGAGCGACGACGTTTCAAAAAAAAACACACGAAATGAAAACAATTCGCGCCGAAGAAATGCTCAACTGAAAAAATAATCGCTTACTGAACACGGCACATCATCATCATCATCCTCACATCGCATTGGCATGTGCCACGCCCCCAACGAAAAGTCAAGGTGGCACTTGTTGCAGAGGTTGTCACGTCGCGACTTTGGATGATGGGATGGGGGTTACATAGAGTATAGTCATGTATCGTGATCGGAAAACGAGATGATCACACAAGCGTGCCCGTTCGGCAATTAGATTGCGATGGCTCAGCCTTAATTATTCCCAGGTAATTGCTGCTCCAGTTGGGCGTGTCAACGCATGGAACCACTTAGCCGCAATTGTTCCTGGTATTTTCCACCTGGAAATGAAGTCAAATTAACAATAGAGCGGCCTGCTCAAGGCAGAAAATTATAATTGCCATGATAACGATCAGCAGTTCGTACTCACAGATGTTGCATTAATGGCCCAGCAACATGCAGAATGGATTTAGGTGAGAATGGGTTGTTTTCGTTTTAATAAAATGGGGATTCGTTTCGTTGACTGGGCCTACAGAACATTCAGGAACTCATTTTAGTCTTAAGCTTGATTATGATGTTAAGTCAAATGATGCAAGTCAAATGCATTAAACATTTTTTTCAAAGTTAAATGCTTTATTATACATTATTTAATGTATACATATTACAACAAATGATTTACATCCCAAGTAAATATTATATTTAATATTTTCTGCCCAGCAAAACTGTTTCCCAAAGAGTAAGCAACACATTATGAATCAGGTTTCCATCTCTCATCTAAATGTTTTCCTCTCCCTGGTTTTTCCTACCTTCGAAAACCTTCGTGGGCTGTCAAAAAATGTGGCTAAAACCAGCAAATTGAACTTGAGGCCGAACATGCAACTTCCTTCCTTGGCCGGGGGCCACTTCCTTGGTTTATCCTGACTGACCCTCTGGCAGAAAAGCGAGGACACTTGCCATGTGGCATGCCAGGCTGCCATTTTCTGGGGACATTTTGAGGCTAATTAAATCCACGGCGAACAGAGAAAAAAGCGAATGCTAAACGCTTTCCGGCATTGACATTTTTTCGCGAGTTGAGTGAAAAATATTAAGCATACGACATGTGCTCCCGGCCAGGCACTGAGATTTATGTTATGGTCGCCTTATTTTTTTTTGCACCCCAACCAACTAAAGCGAGACAATTAAAAGTGCTGCAGGAAATGTTAGCAACGCGATATTTATGACACTTCAAAGGTTGCTTTAAGCGAGTCCTTCTGAGCCGCCTCAAGTCCCAAGGACTTTGGCAATTAAAAATGCGGCTCGGGCTTATCGCACGCGCCACGACAAGTGTTGTGTTCGCCGTGGGTTAAAAAGTTTTCCGCAATTTCCACGCCGCCAAGAGGTGTCGAAAGTTTCGGCGCAAGTTTTCGCCGCAGGACTTGTAATCCTGCGCCACCCAGTTGGCTTTAATCCCGCTTGGCTCGCCTTTATTGCCGCTGATAAGAAGTAAGTGTTCACAAAATTTATTTGGTACGGTGTTGAGAACAAGGCAATTAGCGAGCTAATCAAATAATCCGCTGCTAATTGTTGAAAGGAGTTGGCTTGCTAGCAGAAGCTTTAATTCCATCTTATAGCTACTGTTTCTTGGATCTCCTCCTCCTGCAGTTACTTCATTTGATGGGGCTCCTTTTTCAGGCTGTAGAATAAAACTAAACCAATTTCTATCATTGCCAGTAGCTGCAATACGAGAATCGATATCATTTTGAGGTGAGCTGGTAAATAATCCTTGACGGCCAGCATTTCCGGTTTGATCAGCATATCCTTGATATTTTGTGCAGTGCTCCAGAAACAACAGAAATACTGCAACATATAGGGCATTACGAAGAGGAACTTGAGGTTGCGTCCCTTATGGGTTGTAAACATTTTCGCGGGCGTCATTAGTATGAGAACTGTAAAGACAGTGTAAATATTGGCCTCCACAAAGGCCCTTGTAATGTTGGCGATCTCCAGACTCAGAACCGAATGACCCGAAGGAAGATAGAGCCGTGGACAAAGCCGGATTCCCCAGGAGGCCAGCATCAGCGCAAAATAAGTAACGAAGTGTCCCATTATTCTTCAGCAATTCACAGCTTAGGAGAAATATATAGATTGTCTTGGCGTATTTCTGACTTTATGACAGGAAAGCCGTTTCCAGTTTGTTTACAGGGCTACAAAATCTCTGGGGTGAAAACTATTCCATTGACAACTCAATCTCCATTAAGAGCTTAGGAAGTATTAAAACATGTTTTATGTAATTTAAAGCAATATGTTTTTTGAGCTAAAAGTTGTTGAGGTTTTTAACAATCAATAAACCCTTAGATTTTTTACATACCAGACTTCCCAAGCCAAAACGTTATGAAAGACATCAAAAAGCATCTTCAATAAAGTATGAAAATTTGGTGGCCCCTTAAGATACTTTATGGCTGATTTTAGAGGCTTGTAAATGTTTGTTAAATCCCTGATTTAATGAAAAAGTCTGCAATTCTTCACCCTTCTCCGTTGGGCAGTCAAAAGTTGAACAGATTGAATGCTGCTGAAAGTTTAGCATTTTCCACCGATATTTCACGCAGCCATTAACATTTTTGCGAAATATTTCGTGCCACCCCCGGTAGTTCTTGGCTCGCCGTTTTCCCGGTTGGAAAGCCACTTTGATGCGCCTTTCATGTCCAGGCCACTTAAGGAATCCTCACACCTTTCCCTGCCGCACAGGACACACGTTGACGCACCTCATGCGGTGACAACGACCAAGTCGTGTTCCTCTAATACCCGCGCAAAATATGACCAAAGCCCAGGACGAAGTCCTTTAAGCACTCGCCACAGGACATAAAAAAGGAACTGAGACTGAAACTGTGACTGAAACTGAAACAGAAACTGGAGGCGAAACCCCCGGCCGAAACAGGCCTAAACAAAATGTTCGCACTAAGCGCCGCAAGTCAAACAGAAGACAGCGAACAGAAAGCGGGCTGAAATCTCCTCGAGCTCGAGGGAAATTTATGTGCCTCGGGGCGGTAACTTCATTATGCAATGACCTACAATGAAATGGGCTGCCGTTGCACAAAATTTATGTGCAAAGTTGAGAGACAGCCTAAGTACCAAGTGCTCGCCCGCCTGCCCAGACAACTCGAACTGCTTCAAGTCTTCGCCCTTTATTTGTGTTTTTTGCCCGGCCCAAAATAGTTTTTTATAGCTGATAAAAAAGTAAAGTAAAAAAAACGCTTCTCAATGGGCAGTCATTGCGATAATGCTAGCCTAATCAGGCTGCAAGTCTTCGGGCTTCGACAGTTACCCGTTGGCTTTTCCATAGAGCGGTATGTTGGTTAAAACTCTCCTATTCGTAGGACTATTTAGTCTGGTTTGGGGCGTTGAGCAGGTCCGATATGATAATTACAAAGTCTACAATGTCAGAATTAATGATCTGGAGCAGTTTAAGCTGCTTAATTCTCAGGAGAAGGCGCTGAAGGTGGGTTAAGTATATTTAACCTAAGGTCATCCATATTAAATTTCTTATTTTCTGCAGCTCAGCAGTTGGCGTGAGGCTCGTCACCTGGGTGAGTCCTCGGACTTAATGGTACCTCCTCAATATCGGGAGACCTTTGAAAACCTCTTGAGCACCCACAATTTCACCTACAACCTCAAGATCGATAATGTCCAAACCCACATTGATGCTCAAAGACCCAAACAGCGAATTACTTCCATGGAGTGGACTCAGTATCACACTCTTGAAGAAATCTACGCCTGGCTGGATGTGATCGAGGTTCGTTATCCGGATATAGTCACACCTTTCACCATCGGAAACTCCTACGAGGGCAGACCCATTAGGGGTATTAAAATTTCATACAAAGAGGGAAATCCCGCGGTCTTCATAGAGTCCAACATTCATGCCCGCGAATGGATTACCTCATCGACGATCACCTATTTCATCGATGAGCTGCTGGTCCCCCGGAATCCGGCAGTTAGGGATATAGCTCAGAATGTCGACTGGTACATTATCCCCGTCCTGAATGTAGATGGTTTTACTTATTCGCACGAAGTGGTGAGTTTAAATTGTTTAAATGTTTACGTAATAAAATAATGAATGGAATTGAAAGTGCCGTCGACGCCTAGCGATTAGATTTGTGATCAGATCAAATAAGTGCCGATATCATTATAGAGTCGGCATCTTATCGCCTACTACTTAATAAGTAGTAATCAATTAGCTCTATTAATCACCGATAATCTCTATTTCCATGACTTGTAGGAACGCCTGTGGCGAAAATCCCGACTGCCCTCGGATCCCAGTGTGCAGGGCGAGTGCATTGGAACCGATTTGAATCGTAACTTTGATTACCTTTGGATGTGTAAGTTTTTTGTAAAGATATCATGATTCTCAATGAAAAAACATTATTAAAAATCATTTAAACATTAATTTTAAAGCTTATAATATTTAATAATAGTTCAACAAGTTCATATATAATAAATTTCTTACTTAGTGACTGGAGCCGATTCGGACCCTTGTTCGGAACTATATGGCGGACCTTCGGCGCAATCGGATCCGGAGATCAGTCAGCTAACTGCCTATATAAACAACTCCATACCTAATGGCAGCATTAGGATCTACATATCGTTGCATTCTTATGGGCAGTACGTTCTTTCGCCCTGGGGACATACGGCTCTCGAGTTCCCCGAACACTATCCCCAAATGATGCACGTGGCCAAGGGCTTTTCGGACGCTCTTTACAGGAGATATGGAACTGTATTCACCTATGGTTCCAGTGCTACAACTTTATGTGGGTTTTTATAGTTTTTGGGTTTAAATTTCTTTAAATCAATGTTTAAAATTTTATAGATGAAGTCTCTGGTTCGGGCAAGGAATGGGCCTATGCGGTGAAGAACATCAAAATACCCTATACCATCGAACTGCGTGACAAGGGCGATCTGGGTTTTGTACTTCCCCCTGAGGATATTATCCCAGTTGCCCAGGAGGTTACCGAAGGGTTTGTTGGCATGATAGCCGCTGCTCGGGAAATTGATATTTTGTAGATTATTAATAAAAATTAAATATATTGCAATCAGATAAAAAAGTCAATAATTTTATTAGCATAGTCCTTTATTCTAATCTTAGTACCAAACAGATTTATTGTACAAAATATATTTTAAAAAAATATCAATTTCACAAAATGTATTATTTTTATAAGGACGAACCCCCTTTTGCATGGAAAATGTTCCCCCATTTGGCGGCGCCACTGCTGCGAAAGCTTTTGCTCCGCCCCAAAAACGAGCAAATAGCCGAAGCTTCCAATCAGCGACGTCGCCTCGTTTTTGGGGGAAAGCGGAAAAGTCGGGAAAGTGGGGAAAGGCGAGTGTTGCCGAACCGAGTGCGTTGATAAGGAAGAGGTCCCCGGGCTGCATTCAGTGCTTTCTTTGGCTTTTTTTCCGGGCTGTGTTTCCGCTGTGCTCCTCGCAGTGCCAAAGTGTTGTTTTATTTTTTCATTTTGGGCAGAGAGTCTCCGCCTCTTTTCAACGCGCGCGCAGCATCCTGTTGGAAAAGGACGAGGATGCCCATCCACATCTGTATATACACTCCATTCCGCTCCTACATGTATGTGCGGGGGAAAAACAATCGTAACGAATGGCAAACGACCAGCGAAAATCTTCAGATTGTCCGCAATATGGCGTCAGTCTTCTTGATACATAGGTTGTACCATGTACATAGAAAGATATATATCTATGGGATATACATGGGAAAGCTGGCACATAGTCCTCAGCTCTTGTTGTTGTGTACGCTTGCACTTATTTTTTTCAATTTGTCTAATGAAATTGCGTTTTCCACTTGCGTCGCTGGCATCCAAAAATAAAAAGAAAATGACAGCAAGAAAGGGAAATAAAATGGCACGAAAAATCTTGGAAAATTCGAGAAAATATAACGTTGACACTTTTTGCACTGGCTCCTTGACTGTGCGTCCTGTGTGTGCCTGTCCTGTCCCGGTCCTCATCCTCATCCTCTAGAGTCCCATGTCCTGTGTCCTGTGTCCTGTGCCTGCCTTTTCACTCACTGTTCTCTCTCTGCATATAAATTGAAATTTACTAACCTCGCTGCCTCCTCTTCTGCTGTTGTCAGTTGCACCTTTATGACAATTTTCCTGCCACTGCCACAGCCACTTCTTTTTTCCTCAGCTTTCTTCATTTTTTAGGTATGTGTGTTGCGCATATTGCGGTGATGAATTTTTCTCTTTGAGTTATATAAAAAAAAATGCTCCAGAGTACAGGGAAATGGAACACCTAACTGAAGCTGAACCGGTAGCAATAAAAACTTACTTAGCCAAATTGCAGTAAGCTAGGAGTTAGGGACTTGAAGAGAGCACTTCTTATTTGTATAATTGAATTGATCAAAAAGATTTACTGCAATAGAGAATTTACCAGAATTTACAAAGTTACTGTACAGAAAATGTTTATGGATTTTCTACAAAATCTAGCACATGTATAAATATGTTAACAAGCAATTTAAAGCGCCTAGTACCAATAATATTTTAACAAGCAATTAAAAGCACCTACATATATGCAGATTTTTTGTCATTAAAGTTTAATAATCCTAATTGCATTTACAAACAATAAATTGAACCCACAAACACCCAGTGACTCATTCAGTACCCAAACTCCCCACTGAATAACAATTATTTATCCAAACACCAACTCTAATTTGATAATTCAATTATGCATTTCAATTCCCCGGACAGCCAATCAAGAAATCAAATCAAAGTGGATTGATTTTGGTCACATGGAGCCGAACCCAAAACTTAGAAAAAAAATGGCTTTAATTGCTGCCAAGGCAATAAACTTCAACGACAATTGACGCTTGACACTTTGAGCGCTTGAGAACCAGCTGGTGAGTTGGAGCTCTCGGAAAAGAAAGGAGATATATATATGGCCTGGAGACTGGGTCTTTGGGCAGGGAAAGTATGACCATGGTGCTTGGATATTCCCAACGCGCGTCATGAAGCTGCGGCGTCTGCGCCTTTTTTGGACGTTCGGCAATGTGATGATGGTATGGAATCGCATTGGCATCGGCTGTTCCGAGATGATCGCATAGTGCTGCCATGGCGCTCGAATGGAGATCCCCAGTACGGTACGCCTACCAGGAGTTATGACAGTCCGCAGAGCTGCGATCCTTAAATGGTGGAGCAAAAGATCCGTTTATGGACCGACGACACAGAGACGACGACGCTGGCGTGTTGACAATGATGTTGGATGATTGGTGTTTTGTGCCCGTTTCGCAGGAAAGTCAAGGGTTCCCGTTTTCCCGAGAATCAAACCGGGGAGACAAGAAGGCTCTCTGCATTGCATTGCATCTTATGTCTCGGTTCTCCGGTCTTCAGTCGCCGCTGCCTTATATGCAACGTCTAGACAGGCTGGAAAAAATCACAGCACAGCACAGCAGAGCTCAGCGGAATCAGAATCAGAATCATTCAGGTAATGCCAAGTTTGGCGCTGGGGCCTTCCTTCAATGATTGCCCCCATGAATGAATGAATCCCAGAGACTCCGCAGTCCGCAGTCGCCGAGCCGAGCAATTAGTATGCGCAGATTGCGATCACTCGGAAGTAATGCTAATTTCTGTTGTCTACCCGGTTACCCAAATGGGTACAAGGGTACGAGTCGCAGGAGTGGGTATATTGGTTCCCAGTGGGGCATACATATATGATCACTGGTACTATCTTATGGTACTACTTGTAAGGATTTTTTATCTTCTTTGAAATGGTAAATATACAAATTACATAACAATATTTAATAAATAAATATATATTGCATATTTTAAATACAAAGAAATATCACTTCTCTTCATTCTCTTCAAATTATAAAAATTATATTCGATCATAAGGAAAGTTTTTAAACTTCATTGAATAGTTAGATGTACGAAATATATAAATATAATTTTTAACTAGATGGAAATATTACTTGGGGTACTGAAATTATATACTTATAATGATATGGTCATAAAGGTATATGCCAAGATCTAGTATCTTAGCTCTTATTTTAAAGATATATCGTTATAAGTTTTTGTATCTTCGTACTTAAGAAAATACACGTTTTATTAAAGAGAGTACATTCCTGGGTCGTTATCCCTAAAGTATAATCCCTTTCTAGGCATTTTTTACCACAGTTCTAGTTCTCCTACCTTCAGGAATCCTTGGCATCAACTGACCGCTGAGCTAGTTTTTCTAAGGTCCCCGGCACTCACTCAAAAAGGCCTGATGCATTGGCCCAGGAGATGCCATTAACATTAGATGGGAGCAGGTGAATGAATGCAGCTGACAGATAAAGACAGTTGTGGGTTGGAAAAAAAGGAGGAGGATCTGAAAGAAGGATCTGCAGGAGGGGAGGACCCCATTATGCAGGCAGCTTGTCTGTGCCATTAAGAGCGTTAACAGGAGGACATTAGTATCCTGTAGGCAACACCTGACGCAGCGGCAACTTCAACAGGACGAGGTCAACTTCAGACAAAGACATGCAAATGCGATTTAGCCAGGGAAATGGGAGGGCAGGGAAAAACTGGAGCCACTTGGGTCGCCTTCGGAAAATAAGAAAACAACTTTTTGCGCTAAGCAGATGAAGGACATTTGCATATACTCCTCGGATGGGAAAGAGGACCTCACGCAGGCAGGCGAAATCAAAAGCTTTTTAAAGGATATTCTCTATAATTTCACGCTTAAAAGGCGCAGGCCAAGTCCGAATATCCTGAAGCCAGGATGTTTGCTTAGCAGGCCGGGGAAATGGTGAAAAACGAAAAGAAGGTACACCCCATTTCGAAAGCAGCCGCTGTTTTACCCACGTGCCAAGCGGCTTAAACCCTGGAAGACGCGACTCTAGTCCTTCGTCCTTCGGGACATTTGCATGCGACTTTTAAATCAATTACTGTTAAATATTTATTTCTTGGCAGTCCATTTCGGCGGCAGGCTGGATCAGGAATTGCCTGTTGGTGGGCATATTATGCTAACATAAATTACATGATTGATTTCATTCGAAGGGCAACAATGCTCACACACTTTTGGCCTGGCAAAACAATAGGGAAAAAGTAAACAAAATGCAAATTCTCAGCGGGTTTTGGCTTGATTAAAAAGCTTAGAAATTAGCATATCATTTGTGCAGCTATTTGTTGGCATTTATAAAAATATTGATTGGCTGCAAAGGGGAGGTTTCGTATTTGGAGTTTATGGCAATATGTGTATAGAGATGAAAAAGTGACCAGATCTTTTATTAGTTTTATATATTTTAAAATATTTGCAGAGCAGAGAATTTTTCTGTTTTATTAAATTGGTTTTTCAATTTATTTGAACAATATTTATCAAATTAAAGGATGCCCCCTTATGTGTATATTTATTTAAAACCGATATTACACTTCCCTAGAAAGTTGCTTTTGGGCCCACTCATTTGGGACCTTCCACTTTGATAGAGCCTTTTGCCAACTCTTACCCAACTATATATTTAGCTACCTTGGGGTCTTTATATTTATTTATTTTTTCTTATTTTATTTTTTACGCTCCTCGAAGGCTGCTCCTCTGCGAGGCAGCATCGTGTGTTTTGCTCACTGGCGCGTTGACATCGCCATCAAAATGCTTTGACGTGGTTTTTGATTGACAGGAAACTCATAAATAATTCATGTCATTAAATCATGTTACATTTTTTCTTCTCTCTGGGACGAGCTCCTCTGCTTTCGGTCCTCTTATTCTGCGGCAGCATTTCCAGCATCTTCGGGACCGGCCATTGAAACGAGTTTCTCCAAGTGGAGTGGTGGGCATTTGGGCGCAGCTCTTCTCCAATTCTCCGTTTCTCAGTTTCTCCACCGCGACCCTTCTCCGCTGCAGTTCTCTAGCAATTAAATGTCAAAAACTGTTTCTCTTCTCGCCATCTTCTGCGATGTAACTCAATTCAGTTCTCGGATTTTTCCTTCTTTTTTTTTAATATTTTCCCTGCTGCGGAAAACTTGAAGAAAATAAGTTTTCAATGAATATAATTATGCAAAGCAGCCAGCAAGTCGCACTCCACTTGGCTGGACCTTAAGA